ATATTGCTCTGCCAAGGGTCGCTAATATAGAATCGTTCGGGTATGTCAAAAATCATATGAAAGTTGTGAACGATCAATAGAGGATTCGTCACCTTAGATAATAAGAGATTATGATCTACATTTTATCCAATTAAGTTGATAATAAAATCCTTGGCCAAGGTGAACTCATAAGTCGAAAAAGAGTTTTCAACTTACATTAACTTAACAATGGGATAAAAGATATGACCAATAATTGAGATTGACACATATCTATATCTCATCATTGATCAGATCATATTGACGAGAGGATTAAAATTTCACAGTAAACGAACAAGTTTGGTTTGTCACATCACGTGACATTTCCCATCACATGTATTGCCCTGACACATTGCTAGATGTTAATCTGGGATGACGAAGGTGAATTAGTGATAAATTAAAAGGGGTGTTTTAATTTATCGATTTTGATTAGATCAAAATAATAATCCACGTCGTTAGATATCGTGATCGGAAACCTAATGAATCATACACAAAAGAGAACCAGAAGAATGAGATTTATCAATTAATTAATTGACAACTGTTGAATAATTAATTAATTGGTTTGCTTATTAATAGACCCGAATTAATTAATTGGATTAATTAATGGGAACAATACACAATTCCTTGTTTTAAAGATCACATTTCATAAATAACAAACTTTAAAAATCTTTTCAAAAATCAGGTGTTAAATCAATTTATTAAATATTTTTAATTATAATATAATACAATTATCCCAATTTATTAAATTTCAAATCCAAATCATTTTCTCTCTCTACTCTCTATCCTCTCCCTACCCCTTCTACTCCGGTCATTTACTCCGACGACTGTTCCGGCGATCACTCCAGCGGCCTCTCCGGCGACTGTTTCGGCGGCCTCTCCGGCGACTGTTCTAACTGCTCCAATTTTCAAAAAAAAATTCAGAATTTCAAGTCATAATCGGTCACAATTGTTTACAACGAGTCACAATTAACCGGTCACAATCGGTCACAACCAACACATATTTGGTCAAAATCTAATCCCGTGCCACCAAATTCAAATAAATTTTCGTTGAGATCAAAATCAGGTTGGTTGTGGTTGATTGTGGTTAACACCTGTAGCACCACCATTACCATCAGAACCACTACCACAACCACCATTGCAAACAAATCACACAAAAAAACACCACCACCACTACGTCACACCAGATCCACCACCACCACACACTACTGAACAAATTGCGAGTCACCACAACCTCACCAACACCGGAATCATTGTTCCCTTTATATGAGAAAATTACCTGATTCACTACTTTTGGAGAAATCAGCATTCAAAAAAAAAAAAAAAACTGCTTCAAAATGCAAAAATTGCCGGAATAACACCGTCTGGCGAGACCCATGGTCGGAGACACCTGCTGGCCACTTCCCCACACATAGACGAGTCTTTCCATGTTGGTAATTCATCCCTAACAACTCACAATCAAACTGAAATGAATTTGGAAAATCGCTCAGTACATGGTCGGAGACACCTACTGGCCACTTCCCCACACCTAGACGAGTCTTTCCATGTTGGTAATTCATCCCTAACAACTCCCAAGCAAATTGAATTGAATTTGGCAAATCGTCCAGTCGCGAAGCTCGTGATTTCGCCTGCGAAAAGCCCCAATTCCGACGCAGTCGCTGCACCCATGGAAGCGGACCACATGGGCTAGGTTCGCCCTCACCTGGCGTACCTAGCTCAGTAATAGGTCTCCATCAATTTAACTCCAAGCAACCTGAATTTGATTCTGAAATTCTCGAAGGGGTGAGCACAGAATCTGATTTCTGTCGATTCAGGCACCGTCCGGCCAAACCAAGGTGGCAGACCACCTAGGTTAGCGCCCCCACACTCTGGGCAACCCAGCTCTGGAGAGAGGTACAGAGGAGAGGAGAACAGCGAGAGAGAGAGGGGAGATGTAGAGAGAGAACGAGTTTTGGGGGGAAATGAGAGAGAGGTCGGGTTGATTTCTGAATTAATTGAATTAATAATATATTAATTAAAACACCTGATTTTTGAAAGATTATTTGAATATGAATTTTGAAAAGTAGTGTTTGGGGTAATTTTCTCTTAATTAATTCATGGACCGGATTTAATTAATTTGATTAATTAAATATCGAACCGGATTTAGTTTGGAGATGGCCAAGCCCATTTGTGCTTATATTAATATGCTGCTAAGGTTTGTAAATTGTATGGAATTTTTCATTATTTTTGCTAGCACAAGAAAAGAAAACCCTAGCCATCATTCTTGTTCTCTGTGTGGATCACCATTGGAAGTTGGACAATTGGACAGCTTGGATTGCAGATCGTGATCATTAGAGTTCGAGAATCAGCAAAAGAGTTTGCAGAATTCATCAAAGGTATAATTCTTATCACAGTTTCTATCTAAACACATTGTAGATCCTTTGTGAAATTGTATGGAATTTTTCATTATTTTTGCTAGCACAAGAAAAGAAAACCCTAGCCATCATTCTTGTTCTCTGTGTGGATCACCATTGGAAGCTGGACAATTGGACAGCTTGGATTGCAGATCGTGATCATTAGAGTTCGAGAATCAGCAAAGGAGTTTGCAGAATTCATCAAAGGTATAATTCTTATCACAGTTTCTATCTAAACACATTGTAGATCCTTTGTGGGAATTGAACAAGAAGGTGGAATCTTCGTAAGGCAATCTAGGAACCAAATCAAAACTGTAAACGAGCCTGTAATAATCAATGTTGTATTTTCTTAATTGTTCGTTCAAGAATTCTCTAAAATTTTCATCTCCTACTCTTGGCTGACCGAATGTATAAATCCCCTCTAATCTTTCTAGCAACCATGTCTCCTTATGGAATGCCAAAATTGCAGGAAATAAAATTGCCAATGCACCACCCAAGCTGTGGCTAGTTATTATAAACTTTGCCTTTTCATTTTTCTGAAGTTGCTTCAACATCTTCCTAATGGCATAGTAGACTACTTCTTGTTTGTTATCTACTGCCCGTTCTCGGGGCCAGCCCTGGTTCTTCTGCAGCCCCTTTCAAAGGCATGTAATATCGTATCTATTGAAGGCATAGTTTAAATAAATAAACTAGTGTGTATCATCCCTAATTGCTTTAAATTTTAGATAAACTGGTTCAACATAATATTAAAACAACAAAATGTCTTGATAATAAATTTCTTTATTCACACATTTATGCAAATTATGCACGTGCAACACATTTGATAAGAATAAACTTGTGTTTGTGAATTTAAGAACTTGTGTAGATGACCAATTTAAATAAGGAAATGTATCTCCAATCTAATAGCTTAAACTCTTAGATAAAATAGTTGAATATGGTATTATATAATACAAATGCTTAGATTCACGTCACTTCATTCTTTGTAAATTCTACGAGTGTGAAACCTTTAATAAAATTGAATTTAGCTTAAACGAGGGGTTGTAAATTAATTAAAACGTTGCCTCATTAATAGTTAAAGTTTTTTTTTTAGATGGTGTTGATAAACAATACCAAGAGATATCAAAGTCGATCGACCAAGCATTAGCATCAAAGGCTTTGGTGCCTTTAGAGGTGGCAATAGGCCGGCTCAGCCTGTATGCACACGAACTCGGTTTGTTACTCATGGGCCGAGCCGAGCTCCGGCTCGCGAGTTCATCAAATTTTTTGAAGATAAACCTTTAAAAAATAAGTGAAAATTACATGGAACCAGAATTTTCAAGTTAACATTTCAAAAATCAGATACAAAGTTTATTTTTATAAAAATCAGATCATAATTAAATATATAAATATTAATAATAATATTTTAAAAATAAATTAATCTATATAATCACCTCTTTCCCCCAAGAAAACCAAATCACGACTCCACGATTTTCGTCGTCCTAAAGCTGCCCTCTCTCTCGGTAAAGTGAAAAAAATGGCGACCTCGATTCTCCCTCTCCTCCTTTTCTCTCTCCTCGTCGTCACGACCTCCGCTTGGCCCTGCAAAACTCTCTTCTATTTTGTAACAACCACCACCTATCACCCTTACTCCCATTCCCAGATCCCTAACCCTAACGAGGCCAATTTCTTCTTCCAAAAACCCTCTTCCTTGTCTTCACCTCGTTATCTCACACTCATCTTCACCACCACCACTACCACCTCTCGATTCCCCAACCATCATACAGCCGTCAATTACATTGATCATCCAATCGATCTTGAACACGGTAAGCTTCCGTACAAAGTGCTAGTTAAATTACACTCCTCAGTATCAATCTCTATTAGGGATCGCACCAAGGACATCATGAGTGTGGTTGGGGCATTACTGTTTGGGGTTGGTTGTGGAGTCCTCACGACCGCTACAATGTATTTCGTGTGGTCTCTATTCTCTCTCCATCGCCTTGACTTTGATGATGATTCCTCCTTTTCTTCTGATGATGATGATGACACATCACTTCCTCCAAGAAGATGGGGTATCTGGCTATTCTTACAAAGCCCAAGGTGGTTTTGGTGTTGTTGGAGGGGGTTTTGTTGGTTGTCCAGGTAGAGATACGATGGTGATGTTGGATCTGGCGGCGATGAGAGGGCGATGAGTTGTTGAGGTTTTTTTTTGGTGGTGTAAGTAAAGGTCGTGGCAGCAGCGGTATAGACGATGGGGATGGTGGTCGTGGTACATGCGGCATTAGTGGTTGTGCTAGTGTTGGTGGTGGTGGTTGTGGGTGGGTGGTGGTGATGTCGGTATTTTTAGATGATGGTTTGTAGCTGGGAGGTCATGTGGGTGGTTTCGGCGATGTGAGTTCGATTGTCATGTTGTTGATGGCAGTGGTGAGGTGATGGTTACAAGTTTTGGTGGTGGTCACAGATTATTTGGTCGTTTGTGATCATTAAATTCATTAATTTGTGACCGAAACAATGTGTCAAATGAAAAATACAAATTGTGACCAAGAAATAATGTGTGACCTAAAAAAATCTTAATTTGTGATCGATAATTTAACAATTTGTGACTATTTACTAAGTTATGACTTATAATATTTGTAATTTGTAACCGATAAATAAGTTGTCACGTATAAATTGTTTTATTTGTGACCCATGAACAAATTGTGACTTATAAAATCTCTGAATTGTGACCATAAATAATTTGTGACCTATAAAATTTCTGATTTGTTTTCGTAAAATAATTTGTAACTTATAAAATTTCTGATTTGTGATCAAAGAACAAATTATGACATAAATTTTTTAATTGTGGCCGATGAACAAATTGTGACCTATAAAATTTTTGAATTGTGATCGCAAAATAATTTATGACATGTAAAATTTGTGATTTGTGATCAATTAATAATATGTGACCAATTAT